AGCTTCACTAGTGGTTCTACCAAACATTCAAGACAGCAATAATTCCAGCATTACACTAACTATTATTCCCAATAATTGAATAAGAAGGTACAGTTTACAACTCATTCTGTGAGTCTAACAGCTTGTTAAAAACTCTAACAAGAGTTGTATAAGAAAGGAAAATTACTTGTGAATCTCATTCGAAAGTATACGTGCAAAAATCCTCACAAAGTATCAGCAACAGAAAAAAAGGATAATATATCATTAGATTGTGGAGTTATTTCAGAAATGCTTGTTCTGTTTTGTTTTAAAATTTTAATTAATGTAATGTACCATATTAAAATGGGAGAATCATAGGATCATCGAAATAGGTGGAGTTAAATCACTTGATATAATTAATAACATAGTCATAATAGAAAGACTTGGCTAAATTTCTATAAGAAAACTAACTTCCTTTAAGGGAATTCCCTGGCAGTCCAATGGTTAGGACTCTGTGCTTTCACTGCTGAGGGCCTGGGTTCAATCCTTGGTTGGGGAACTAAGATCCCACAAGCCGCACAGTGTGACCAAAAAAAAAAAAAAAATTTTAAACTTTCTTTACTTGAAAACTGACGGTTACAAAAGATACTTAATGGTGACACACTGAGCAATTTCCATTGAAATGTGGAACAACACAAGGAGGCCCACTACCGCCACTTCAATTTAACATTTGTACTGAAGTCCTAGCCAGCATGGTCAAGTTATATTCATCAGAAAGGGGGCAGGGGAAGACGACATTATATATATATATATATATATATATATATATATATATATGCACATTATATATATAATTATGCACATAAAAATACAAAATAATATAGAGATAAATTATTAGAATTGATAAGTTTCGCAAGTTCTCCATAAAAAAACACATAAAAGAGAATGGTATTTCTATGTACCATCAACAACAGATAGAAAGTGACATTTAAAAAGATAACATCTGGCATGTGAAAATGTCTTACTTATCCAAGTGAGCCATCAAAAAAAAAAAAAAAAAAAAAGATAACATCGGGGGGCTTCCTTGGTGGCGCAGTGGTTGAGGGTCCGCCTGCCGATGCAGGGGACGCGTGTTCGTGCCCCGGTCCAGGAGGATCCCGCGTGAGCCATGGCCGCTGGGCCTGCGCGTCCGGAGCCTGTGCTCCGCGACGGGAGAGGCCACGGCGG